TTCCGTTTAATGGAATTCCAGCCTTCTTCGGGGAGAGAGTTCAGGGTTCCAATCAAGACTATCAAGTGCTGGTCCGAAATCGTAACATCATCACCTCCTTTCCATAACGAGCTGCTGGAGTTGTAGTAGTCTTGTATGTTGGAAATCCTCAAAGAGAGCTTAATGCTTGTTGCCAACTTCACCCTTCAAGAGAATTGTGATTACTGTAGTGGAAAAAAAACTTTCATTATATTGTATTTTTTTAACAAAAAAAAAAACATGTTATCAAACGCACAGTGGAACAAACGCTAAAATCTAGGGAAAAAATACAAATTTTCTCATACTTTATTTTCTCGAAAAGTTTTATATCTTACGGTGACATCGAATACACAAGGAATGGTTATTTTAATAATGTATCTCATAATGAAATTTAATTCCGAAATTGTTGTTATTGGGAGAGTAAATTTTAGTGAAATATTATAATGATTCATATTAAATCTTGGCTGAAAAGAAAATACATGAGTTCAAGGAAATAACATTGCAGAATATTATTTTGACCTCTACAAGTAGTTTTTATGAAATAAAATTTATACTCAATCACAGTTAATGGAGTATGTAAATGGCTGATGTTCTCGGTTTCACGATACCCCCATATCGATCACATTGGTACTCATATTAGATAATTATTTTGATTGATCACCTCCAATTCCTTTGTATGACGAAGAAAAATCGGATGTCCATTTATAGGTTTGAAAAACAATTTCAAATGTATTTGTTTTATAATAGATTTTTCCACCAAGAAATGAAAGGTTTTTTTTTTTTCTTTTTTTAAAAAAGGTAATTTGAAAACTGTATTACTAGTTCATTTTTGTTATTCTTGCTCAGCTACAATGCTTTCACCATTTATTGCTTGTGTTTCATTTATAAACCGATTGAATTAAATTTTCTATTCCTTTGGTTGGATGTTTTTTCCTTCCATTCAGACAAGTTTTAAAATATTAAGTTATAAGGGAAGAAATGTAATTTGATTGAACAGTTATGACGCGGCTAAAGCCAGCTATGATGTGATGGCTCTATAGCGTGCCGCTTCTCTTCTAATCTATCCATCTTCTTTTTGAGGAAGGCTTAAGCGCCGATGTCTTCTAGGAATATTCCTTCGTTCATTTAGGAAATAATAATCTTAATTCTATAGTTTACGACTATAATGCAGATAAATTAATTATAGATGAATATTTATCTTGAAATGCATGCAAATTAATATTTATCTATTCTAATAAAGTAGTGTAAATAAAATAAAGGTATAGTAGATGGATAAGTAGAAATTTAAATACAATCAAATAAGTTGATTTAATTTTTTTAAAAATAAAATAACCTGTAAGGTTTTAAAGTATAAAGGTCTTGGGTTCAGTACTATTTATGAAAAGTATTGTTTCAAGGCCAACGGTTGTGCAGAGAGGAGATCGGGCTAAGATCACGCTCAACCGCCAGGTTTTCCCCCTCAATTAATCGTTTTAATTAAGGGTGCCCACTTTTTACAGGCTGGGCGTGTCCAAAGATCGTTTTCCTACCCCAGGATCGCCCTATGACCGATGAAACTGGACAAATAATTTTTCTGCCATGAGCCGGGATTCGAACCTGGGACCTCGAGCATCGGAAGCTCAGTGCCCTACCACTGAGCTACCCCGCTCCCTTATTGTGTTCCTTGTGTTCTTACCTTACTATAATTATTGTCCGTGTGACATTATGTTATACAACTCAATAAATAAAAAGAACACAAATTATTTATTTTTGCCAACTTGGACTACTTGAACACTCTCAGTGCTCACACCACGCCCTGAAGATGACCCACATGTTTGGGTTGAAACGTTGACAAAAATAAAAACATTTAGAAAAGACTGCGTCCTGAATATTTATCTCCCAAGAATACAAATTATATGCCCTTTTGTTGCGGCTACTCGTTGATTAAATTTCCTAAATTCAGATGTATCTGAATTTTCTTTAATTATTATGATGGTTTTATTCTTATTAATATTAATCGAATCCAGGGATTTATACTGGTACTAGTGGAAGAAACTAGTTCTATCGTGATCCTTTTTGCCAAACCCTGACCGCTACCTTGAGTTTGCTGCCGCGTACTGACCAGATTAGAAATGTCAAGATTCCTCTCCCTGGGTCGCCGAAATATGAAAATTAATCATGTGTAAATCACACTCACAACGTTCAGAACCGGACACTCTGGGACCTACGGTCCGACGTTCTCGCCCATCCCTTTCTCCCATTAGTTTCTAAAGCTCTTAGTTCAAAAGTTTAATGGCTAAATCCTTTCGAGGGCTTTTTATTTAATAAAATAATTTGCTAGGCTTGGAAGGCCTATTTCTATACTCATCACTAGTGACTATCATCCAAGTGCTGTCCTGTAATTGCTCTATGTATTGGAATAATGGCCTAACTGCGATACTTGATATATATATATATATATATATATCACTTCTTTTGAGAATCATGTCATATTCAAAGAGTAAACTTTCTTCAAACTCAAAACCTGTTCTAAGGTATTATAACTCGTATTTGTATTTTTATATGTGTATTTACGGTTCGGCTGGTTATTAAAGGAGGAATTATGTATTTACTTAGTTGTGCACGTTAATATATATAGACTGAGTCGTTAGGAACGGATGAAAATCCAAGAGTGCATTGAATATAGTGTTGCCCAAAATAGGTCTTGGTCTTGCATTTCGCAATACCAAGACAAAGACTGGTAAAAAAAAAATCTACCTTTTGAATAAAAAAGGCAAAATAGTTACTATATGTAAAAAATTGGTATAACCAATATACTTTTGCATTGAACTCTAATTTTTCATTCGGGCTTAGTTAGGCTTCTCCTATATAAAAAAATACAATAATATCTCTATTGTAATAAGCTAATAGGTAACTGCAGGTCTGTTGCGAAACTCTTGTGCAAGACCAAGACTCTTCTTGGTCTCGCATTTAGGCAACTCTAAATGCTCACAGGAAAAGTAATAAACAAGAACTCGTATGTTTTTATATGATTTTTATTCGTATAAATTTTATTGGCTCTTTCATTTTAGATATCGAATACCAACTTTGGCTCACTGTTGTCTTTGTTGTCAAGACTTTGTCTGACTTTGAAGTCACCCTCTAACGTAACATGGTTACGTTTATTTAAAAAAAAAAAAAAAAATATGTCATCAACCAAAGTTAAAACCAGTTTTCTTGTTGCGGAATTTATTTAAAGTCTAAAAATAGTTTTTACACACATCTGAAGGATTTCGCAATAAGTATTATTAACGCTCTTGTCTGGACGTTATGCGTGCGGGATAAGTGTTTGCGTGGTGCTAATTGGAAGTGAACGAACACATAACACGGAAGGGCGATGTGTTCTTAGAAGGGCCTAATCGAAATCAAGATCGAAAAACACTTTTGACTGTAAACGCTTTACGTTGACCAAAAACCAAAGTTGACTCAGTTAGGGACTTAAACCGCGGAAATGATAGCAATAGGGGTACTCATGCACTTGTAAATTAATGTGCTTATCATGCTGAGCGGTCAACACAAATTTTGAATGAATGGTAAATAAACTGTCTACGCTAAATTAATAAACTTATGCCTTTACTAAGTTTTTAATTGATCTAATAGCGATTTTATTTATTATTATAATGCCTATGCGAAGTGAAAAGATTGTATAATTGCTAGATTATTTTGTTAAACATTCTTTATTAGAAAACATGATTGAATATTCAGATGATTGAGAAGGCAAAGAACACGAGGAATACATGAGATGAAATCCTAGCTGTCTTCACATTCTTACATTCCATTTCTGTGGACATTGTAAACAAACAAAGAATCAAATCCTTGCAATATCTTCTCCGTGCGTTTATGAAGTTAGCAACACTTTACAGAGCCTTAGGAATCGTTAAAATCGAGAGTGCTAGTGACCATATTTAACACATATTTCGTAAATGATTTTGTCGACTTTACACATTTTTAATAAAAGTACAAATTTAAGTTAAAAATCTTTAAAAAATTAAAAAAAAAAAAGAAAAATTCTCCAAATTTCACCAAAACCTTACGTACCACCCAAATCCTCTTGCACAATCCCTATCAAGCACCTCCCATCCCTATAATCCTCTAAGAAGGTTGAAATGGCAGTGGCCTCGCGACCTTTTGTAGATTGTATAAATTGGAGTTCTAGCAATGGCCACATTCTCCACTCAAGACATGTGTGTATGTGGCTAAAGTGCTCTCGATCAATCTCCGCTGGCTTTAGTACCAGTGACGCGGTTGGGAGAGTAGCGCAGGATTCTCCTGGAGTTCCCTCGCCTGATTGTATATAGTATATAGTTGTATATTGTATATAGTTGTATATTGTATATTTTTTGCTTAGTTTTAATTTTCTTATTTTTTAGGTTATTTTATTTTATTATCTATTGTATATACTTTTGATTATTGTTTTGTTCTATTTATTTTCTATTTTTTTTTGTACATAGTGTGAATGTCATCCTATCTCACTATAACCAATGTCCAAGAGACAAATTGTTATAATACTCAATAAAGAAATAAATAAAAAGTTTATAATACTTGCTTAGCACTGCTTGCATGAATGCTCCTAATGAGAAAATTGACAAATGCCCATTATCATACCTTACAAAATACTCACTAAAATGTGTACAAAGTGATTTATAAAATTTAAAAAAAAAAAGGAAAATATAACAATGTAATTTACGCGTTACATATTATCTTAATCACTGTAGATCCATTCTATAGAGTAAGAAATGACACTTCTAGTGCTTTGAAGTAATAAATCTTATAAAAACATTTTTGATTCATTTGACTTCATTACAAGATACACAACAAGAAATTTTGAAATCGTGGTTATTTAAGATTTTTTATGTCAATTTCGAAATCTTGTTATCAGTCATTCTGGAAGAATCATTAATCCAGAGTTGAGACATTTTCATAATGGCGGATCGAGTTATTGAATATTCCTAAAAAAAATTTAGTTATGTTCGAAAATTGTAGGGGAGCACTCCATCAATTGGTAGCTGACTACGTCCAATTAATATAGCATAGGGCAGAGGTAGTGGAGATGGAGGAAAGAAGAAGTAATGGGATAAGGAACTGCTGTGACGGCGATTGCTAGTTGGAGAGGACTGCACTGCTGCATTCTCTCGAACGTGACGCTTGCCCCAGTTGGGATCTTCGGTCTCAGACGGGGGAGGTGAGGGGGTCTCTTCCTCACCCGATCCTCTCGATAATCGAATCAGTCAGTTGTCAAGAATCGACTTAAACGACCCCTCGCAATAGCGTCCATTTCCAAGAGTTAACAACGCTTTTCATTACTACACTTTCCCGAGGCGATGGGGTGGAGTACGGCCTAATTTATACCCTTAGTCAAAATGTGGGATCCATTTTATATTTTCCCCCCTCCCTCTTCCATTACATTTATTCCTTCACCTTAAGTAGCTGTAATAAATTCAACCACCTCTTATTTTTTACTTAAATAAGACGCATTTACTTCGTTCCTGAAAGTCTTTTTTACTCAGAAGAATGGTTGCATTATCCGTGAAAAGCTTCTTTTTTTTTGGTTAACTTAGTTCGAAGTGGCATTAAAGTGGCCTTAATAAACGTTTTTATATAAAAAATAATACAACATTCTATATAATTTATATAAAACTGGCGTCCCCTGTAAATAACTGGCTTCTGGATATAACTGTAAATAAATATAACAATTTTAAGTTGTATATCCAGAACCAGTAATTTATTTACACTTGCAGTAGTACGGCGATTATAACAGTTCGTATTTGTAACATTCTATTATATCACGTTTCCAATGTGACCAATTGATTTCATATAAATATTTTTTATTTATTTATATGATATTTACAACTGTATACAAAAAATACATCTAGTAAATTCGCACATGGATATAATGATATGAAACACATGTTGAGAAACTACCCATTGGTAGCACTCTAATAATATGTTTGTATTAGGAGATCACGTGGTCATCTTCTTTTCAGACGCCTCGGAGGGTTATCAGGAATTGAATAGGAAGCAAGGTTAGAAACAAGAGGGTTGGGATGGTTATGAAGTTTATTATGGAAGCAGAAATATCTCGATTGGGTCAAATCTGATACATAAGGAACATTAAGGTCATTATGGATGTTCTTATTTGTAACAAAATAAGGAGCATTGAGGATTTTACGAAGGATTTTGGATTGTAAGGATTGGATACGAGAGGAATTTGAAGGTTTGGTGGAGCCCCATAGCTCAATTCCGTAAGTCCAAATAGGCCTTATTATAGTCATGTAAATGAGTCTTTTGTAATTAATTGGAAGGTTAGAGCGTTTGTCTGTCTAGTAAGTGTTGAAGTAGTCAGAAACCGTCGAGCTGTTTCTTGTCGTTTCAGTCTGATATAAGGATTCCAAGTTAGACGTTTGTCCAGATGGAGTCCTAGGTATATAAATATTAATAAATTATTTTTTGGATCTATGGGCTATTATTTAAATTAATCTAAAATAAGTATATTTTATTGTTAGCGATCCTTCCACTTTTACGGCGATGAGCTGGATATCCAACTCTATTTATGTTTATTTATATAAATATAAACATACATCTGTAATCCGTTTTTTGGTCCTGTTTCTTCTTCGGTTCAGTAGTTGGTAAGTAAGTACTGTTTCAGAATTTCCTCAATAATTAATTATTTTATTAAGTACACTCAATTTATAGAGGCTAGATGGGCACCAAGAGGATTCCTCAACCACAGGGTCGATTCACAGCTGATAAAAAATTGCATCTCATCAGACGTATTTGAAATCCGGTCCTTGAACTTTGAAAGTCAGTGCTTACACACTGAACTAAACCCCTCCCCGATTGTAAAAACGCTCCCCCCTAAATGTACTTCATAGCTTCTTACAATAAACCAACGATATTTATTAAAAACTTACAGGGTTTGCAATTGTTTAAAATTTGACACTAGTTTACTTAAGTTATATGAATTTAAGATTGGTTTCCTTCTTTCGAATTGGCGCTCATAAATTATTTAACAGTTTGTTTTTGCTTGTCTAAAGAACTAATACTCTTTTATTACAAATTAATTTTTTAATAATTCATGTGCCAGCACATCTGCTGATTGTCAATAATAATTGACAGGTGCGGATAAATATATATAAGAGCAAAAAAAAAAAAAAATAATAATTCATGTGACCATATATATTTGTTATATAAATAGCAGCTGTTTAAGAAACATTGCAAAAAATTTCAGTCAAAGTCGAATTTATATTCATCTGTGCTTCGTAAGTTCAAATTCTTAATGTATTAGATACTTAAAATTGAATAAAGGTAACCATGAGTTAAAACTTAAAATAATTAAACATATTGCAACGGAGGTAAGTTCCCTGTCACTCCCTCTACCGCCCATCAGCTCAATGTACCAACCAGCTTTAAACGAGAATGGTTGATTTAACAGGGCAGATATTGCTCCTTTTACTACAGAACGTATATAGGTTCCGAGCCATTGACCCCCCTCTTCTTTGTACATCTTTTGTAGGAGTGCTCCAGCGTGCAGTATGTTCGGAGTGTGTGTGTTCTTCCGTGTACGTTCCATATGAGCTCACGTCATGCCCTCGCTCTCTGACACCGTCTTTTGTCTTGTCCTAGGGGGCGTTGCTTCTTCTAAGCTGACATTTCAGCTCTTGACCTTTTCTATCATAATTTATATTACAAGTCCTAAACTCTTTTGATTTAAAAAATAAGCAAAATTATTTTACGCCAATTATGTTTAAAACAACCTTGTGCGTCTTGTGGTTTTTATTTAACTTCAGAATTCTGACGCTATTTCTACAACTACTTATCTTTGTTTATACTGAAAGTAAGGAAATTTTGAATATCACCTCTTTACTGGCATTATGAATATATTATCTATCATTTTATGGGTGTTTCATCGAGTATTATCTTTTTTACGTGAGTGCTGAACTCCAGATCTTCCACGTCATGGTTAAGCCAATTTCCGCCCTGAAGACTCCGGCCAGCCACTTTTTCTTCCAGTTCGTATATCCACCTTCTTCTGGATTGTTCTCGCCTCGAGCAAGCTTTTGGCTTTCCGTGCTTGCACCAGTTATCCACACACGTCAATTTCTGGATTCAGAGCAGTCAAGGAAAGATTCCAGATAATTAAAATCGTACAGAAGTTTATAAAAGTTAATGAATACGTTTTCTAATTTGATATAACCATAAACTTAAGATTTTTAAATTTCATTAATTTCCGCTGCGAAAATAATGGAATGAATACAAAAATTAATTGAAAATTAGTATTCTCGAGACTACGAAAAATAACCATATGTTCATATTTACTGTTCCTTAACAATTTTAAAAATTTAAATTTATAGATTTTTCTACATTGGCTTTGATGTATGTCGTTTGGTGGTATATTCGGCCGTGTATGTGTTGTGTGGACGCCCGTTTTTCATATATGTACGCTCATTCGGCTGATCATGGCCGAGCTTGCTCGATTATTATTCGGCTGTCCACGTTTACATTGAACTCCCACCCTTCAAATTCCGGCCTAAAAGAAAATTAGATTACTGTGCAGCTGTTCTCCGAAGCGGTAAACGCCCCCTGGATTCGGTAAAATAAGGAACATATGGATTCCATAATTACTAGGTATTATCACTAGGTGCGTGGGGTTGGTGCATTACAATGATTCAGTAGCGCTTCGTGAGTCATAGCCAATGATAATTATAGTTTACCGTGTGCATTATCCTCATACGAGTCCTAACTGAAAAAAAAAAAACTGTCTGGCCTCCCGGTAATGGCCTATGAATCAAGGTGGTCCGTATCTCTATTGCTTTTGGCGATAGCTTTTTTTATTACGTCCATTTGTTTACTGTTAGGATAGGCTCGTTGGAGGTGGGGTTTCTACTCTGGTAACGAGTATCCTATAAGTTATTTAATTGGTGATAAACCGCTTTTTCTCGATGCAATGCCTTTTTCTGAACGACAGTAAACATTTAGAATAATTAATATTAGAGCTCTCCTGTTGCTATTTAAAGTCATATGGAGAGCCATTGTATTCTGTTTGGAGTTATAACACTTATACATAAAGAAAACTCATTCTTAATATACTCTATGTTCCATACAGCTTTTCATGTATCATTACTTTTCGTCCACTTCCTTTTTTTTCCGCTAAAAGTTTCATGTTTTCGTTATAAATGCATAAGCAATTAACTCTCTTGCTAACATCTTGCTTCATAACAAAAATGGGTGAAGAAGAGCAAAACGTGAGTTGCTAATAGCTCAGCAGTGTCAGTTGATGAAGTTCACAATCATTTTTTTTAAAGTAACGTTTCTGAATTTTGATTCCTCTCCTTGTAATAGTTTCATTTATTCCCGAAGACGCGCTCCACGTCATCACAATAAAAAAAATGATTAAGAAAAAATCAAATTTTGCTTTCCTTTTTGTATCGAATTAGTACTTCGTGACGTCTGTTTGCTGTTCTTTAACTTATCAAGCTCACCCACCGGAGTTCCTCACCAGTTTACCTTTGAAAAAATTGCTGATACATTGCTTAGGATTTTTTTAGTAGTTTCGCAGCTCATAGATCATAACATTGCTATAAGTAAGTTGATTTTACTACTAATATTTAGCTTTTTCAATGAAGTGGTCGTTAACAATTCTCCAACGCTATCGGTTATTTGTTTTACCGTTTTACTTTTAAGGTTAAAAGACAAACATTGAATGGTTTTTTCTTTAATTTTAAACCTACGGTAACTCTTTTTGGTAGTATTCTCTCCGAATTTCACATTTAAGAAATGTATATCTTAAAAATAGATTTCTTGCAACGACATCTTATTTCTTCGAAAAGCTGCTTTGCTATGCTCTGCTAAAATACGACTACCTCTTTTCACGTTTCCGAATGGGTGTATTGGTTAAGGAATATTTTGTTCTTGTGTAGGAGTTACTGAAATAATACTACTTATTAATATATATATATTTTTTTTTTTTCCTTTCTCTAAAATCGTCTACTCCTGCTGTTCCATCTCTCCTTTCTACCTTCATGAGCTGTTCTTCGCCTATTTGCTTGACATTCCTCTGCTTTTCTCTCAATATTTATCTTTTATTACGTTTTTTCGATCTAATTTTCGCTTCTCTCTATGCAGCTTTCAAAGCCTATTGGAAAAAAATTAAAATCCGTCTCCTGTTGTTTAACTGCCCATAATATTGATATCGTCGTTACAATGGCAAACTATCTAATATGAAAATCATCACTCTAATATCATTAACCATTCAGCAAACATCATGGATGTTTAAAAATCTTTAATTGCTAGTCTTTTCATATTCGATCGTTTATTATTGTATCGACGATATAATATGATCATTAATTGGAACTGGGTGAAATTAAATTAAATTGACTCGAACAGTTGTAATTAAATATTATAATCTGTAATTATTATTTTCTGACGAAATTGGGATATTGTAAAAAATATATTTTTTATAGAGCTAAACCTTAAAGAACACATCTGAAAATTTTGGTCATAAAAAACCTCATTCGTACCATAAAAATAACACGAACCTCATTTAACATATTGACGGAGACAATAAAGAAAGAGGTGTAACCGTGGAGCAGCTCCAAACGCACTAGTCGTAGAAAAGAGTTCTTCCTTACGTAACTGAGCATCTAACATACTAGACTGACACACCTTCACTTCATAACAAAAGATCTTATCTCCAGATGTCAAGGGTGTGACCAGTCATTAACTATAAAACATGTTTTGAAGAGTGCCCTTTTTACACCGCAAGGTTAAAAGATCTCGGAATACCCCAGAATATATCAGCATTCCTGGAAAATCAAGAAGAAATTCTTACGAAAGTTATGAAGTTCCTAAACAATGAAAAAATTATAAAACATATATGTCATGTTTATAACTAATGATCCTTTGCAGATTTTTTTTTAATTCTAAAGGTTCTTTTATTTATTAATTTCTATTAATATATTGATTTTATTGCTATTTTTCTTATCTATAAGAGTCTATTATTACGATTATTTATTTATTTTATTCTATTATTTTTTATCCTTTTTTTTATTTTTTGTACCAACCACCTGAACAGTACAAAAATGGTGTTATTTATTTGATCGAGACCTGGATGTTTTGCGCCTAGACATCGAAACAAACAAATAGCAATATATCAACGTTAGGGAATGAAAACCTGCCATTTCATCAGTCTATTTGAACCACATGACTGCAGTCTCAATTCTCTATATACGAAGAGAGATTTAAAAATGCATATTTTAATCTATGAATAATTAAAGATCATATATATCAAACCAACAACACATTAAGATCGTTTTTGAGCTTGACTGTTCCATCATATTGTTCACATACACAAAGAGCGACCCTATTGCGAGACTTGGTTATTTGGGCTCAAGGTACCTCAAAACGTGTATTATATCTATAGATAAGTGAAAGTAAAAATGCAGTATCTACTGTAAGCGTTTTACGTAGCACATAACTAATAACTTAAATTTTACCGAATAAATATTTGGTCAACCTGAATACTTGTGTTCATAGTTTAATTATGATGATATTTTTATTTAATAAAGTCAATTAAAATAATATTTTTAAAAATGTCAGTTTTTTTTTGCTTCAATTCTGTCGGAGAGCGAGCGGTAGCTCAGTGGTAGGGTACTGTGCTTCCAATGCTAAAGGTCCCAGGCTAGAATCCCGGCTCATGGCAGAATAATTATTTATTGTTTCATTAGCCATGGGGCGATCTTCGGTGGGTAGACCCCCCTAGGGCACACCCAGCCTCTATAAAGTGGGCACCTATAATTAAAATAATTAATGAAGAGGAAAAACTTGGCGGTTAAGCGTGATCTCGGTCAAATCACCTCCTTGCACAACCGTAGACAAAGAAACAGTGCTTTTCCTAAATAGTACTGAACCCAAGACCCTTCATGGGTTGTAGTGGTACAAGTTTTTTGTTTTTTATTCTGTCACTAAGAGTGCAGTTGACAAGTCTGCAAAACCTTGATTTTTTTATACATTGTGGAAAGTTGATATCTCGAAGTATTATAGATATCGAAATTTTACACGGTTTATGAGAATCATAAAGGGAACAATTGGAACAAAATATATCATAAAATGTCAGACCCTGGGTTTTATGTTTTGGAAGATTTGATATGGATTTAATCTTAAATGAATTTTACAATTGGTAGGAGTATTCTAATCCATGCATACTTGGATCAATTATAAACGGCGTGTTTCATTAGCACTCGATATATTTTAAGTCGTTTTTTTCATAATAAGATCAACTTACCCCGTATGATTTTCGGAATGGAAATAAAAAATCTAATGAACGTCTTTTGCTGTCGATTGGAGGGTTAATTTGAGGGAGGGATCGTATTAGGGAGAGCAGGCAGGGTAGCGAACCCTTCATAGGGAGCATTGTGCGGGGCCGAGATACTGCCTGCAAATCTACAACATTAGCGTCGATTGTAAAATCGATGGGGAGGGGGGCACCTGCCTTCTTGGCGGGTAACAATTTCTGGCGGGAATAGAGCACGCGAGCCTTCGATCCGCCAGCTCCTGGCACGGCCGGTTGCGCCAAACCGCTCATCTAATTATATGCTAATCCCATTCCCTCTCCAACAGCCCTCAACACAACCAATGAATAAGCGAATTAATAATTTATTCTGATGGGCTCTTGTAAAATAAATTTTATTTCACTTCTTTTCTTTTTTTCTGCTGATTTAATAAACGATGGTAGAGCATTTAGATAAATAGAGTAGATTATGCTTTCTCACTACCGAAGGCAGGAAAGCTTTGTATCTATGTGGGAGGTTAAAAAAATATGTTTCAGACATCAAGGATAAAATTTGGTTCGGTGTCTGTCTTTCTGTAGTCAAATAGATATGACTGGCATACCAACTGCTACCGTTTATCTGATTTTCACGAAATTTTTAGGGATGGTGCGGATTGGCACCTAGATCATCCCATATCAATTTCATTAAGTACTTCCGGTTGCGCACGCGCTAATATATTTTCTTAGATATGCTAATATTTCAGAAACACCATGTGTCTCAAAGTTGGCAGAAATGTGGGTGTTAATGAAGCTGTATCGATTTTATCGATTCCGAACAGTACTTCGGATTATTATTCTCCTAGGTATGCAATTATTTCAGAAACGGGTCGTTGATTTGGATCAACGTGGAAAAAAAAGTGGGCATTGGTAAAATAAAATAATGCTTTTCTATTAATTTTATTAAATTCTTTATAGTACTTCGGATTGCGCTTAAAATAGTGATCCTTTGTCAATTTTATTAAATATAATCCTCTACTTTCTCGTAATATGCGAATATATATGCATAATAATTCTCATATATATGCGAAAGCGTACTTTCCTTGACACGCCTATATCACAAAAACCTCACCTTTTTTTATTTAGGCCAAATTTGAACAGAAGTTAGGGATAAAAAAATGATCTAGTAAGAATGGATTTCATCAAAACCTATCAGTTTAAGCTGTGAGCCGCTTATTGGAAATTTTAAGAAATAATTCAAAAATATTAATTTTAGCTTTTCGATAAAGGATGTAATAATGATTTTACTGGGAAAGAAAAAAACTATTTTCTTTAGTTCCATTAATATTTTAATCTCTGAAAAGAAAAAGAAAAAATAGTCAACTTAGCAGGAATCTATTATCAATTAATTCTGAATCTGACCTCCGTCCAAGATATTTGAAAAAAAAACATTTAACCAATTTCTAAACCCATTCATTTTATAGATGAATAATTATAAACAGGAGTCTAGATGATATTAAAATCGATTGTAAACTCATTTAATTTATACTCCCCAGATCTTTCTTAAAATGGCTTCTGAATTACACTCAATTTGAGATTCTAAAATTTCTAATAATCCTCTATTCAAGAGGAACAAGAGTTAACAAAATGTAAAAATACAGTGCAATATTACAATTATCATCTTTAATTACGTGTATATATTTATAAATATTTTATAAGTGATATCTAAGAGTTAGGATCCTCCAAAATTGAATAAGTTTGGATTTTTAAATGTTCTCCTTAAAATAAGATCTCTCTGAATTGAAATTCCATCATTTTCTTTGGTTCTGTTTCCACTTTGTGAGGTCGATTTTTGTCATTTATATATCCTGGTTTGTATGTTTCATTTTTAATTTACTCTTAATTAATAATTATTAAAAAATACTTACTGCTTTTTTTTATTAAATGTTACATACTAGAGAAATGATAAATATTATGTATATGAGTAATAGATTCCAGAAACAGTAATATGGAAGGTAATATAATTATATTTTGAAGTCGAAACCACAATTTCCTGCAAGATATTACATGTGATATTCAGTGCCGATAGCGTCGGAAGGATTTTGACGATGGCATGGGGTTAAATTTAACATGGCTATCTGGAAATAGATCAACAACACTCCATAGAGTCAATAGAATATCACATATTGAGGATCATTAAAAATTGTTTTCGCATTTTTTCTATATACATTTGTTTGTCATCTTCATCACTGTATTGAAATGATTTTATTTCTAATTAAAATAAAATTAATTCTTACTGAGTATATGAACAGAACATCATCTTCTATAATTTTTCTATTTTAGTAGTTTGTTTTATTTTAATATTTATATACTAAAGGTGTGGTTCTTTCAACCGTTTTTACCTATTGTTTCAAAGTATCTAACAGGCCTAATCCAATTATTATTACTTTAAACGACATCATGGTCTAGTTTAGGAAATTCTCTTATATTTATTTGACAACTTAGTCCCCTCTCTGGTTTCAAAGTATTTATTTTGTAGACAGTATCTTATAGATTTTTCTCTTTGAATATTATGCATCCACACCTACCAAATACGACGTTCACTATCAGTTGATTGACTATTGATAACACTACAATGACATGAGAGGCATGAAGGAAAATATCAACCGATTAAATATTAAAAAAACACTACGAAGGAAGGTTTGGTGATGGAGCATTTGTGGTGCAAAGGTAGCATGAGCTATAACTTGAAAGTATAAACGGAATTTCCTTAGAGACTTGATTAGAGAACATCTTTTTTCTTTGTTATGAAATTTACTGTCTCCATATCATATATATAGTATTATAAAAAGAATGTTTTATAACATATCGACAACCACACTGCAAAAGCCTGTAAGAACAAAAACTAAATATTTTAAGGAGACGAGTAAACTGCGCAATTTTTGTTCTATGAGCATTATATTTTCGGCTTAATGCTCTATTTAACCTTTTTGATCGTATTCCTGTTTGGCCATTACTTCTAACTTGTAGCTTTTTAGTTTTTTTGAAAAACGGGTATCAGTTAGGTTAAAGCAATTAAATTTATTATAATAACACCCATAACTTTGTTAATAATAATCAAATCATTCCAGGAACAAAGTCAGTTTGCAAAATGTAGAGAAACGATATTTGTAAAACATTTGACTGAAAAGCGTAGATTTGTTTCTTACTGTGGGGGTGGCTGGTGCCTGCGCCACATTTTGGGGTAGTCTGTGAAAGTTCCGTTTTTTACCTACTTAACTTCATATGGACATGGTTTGATATACGAATGCTTGGTAAGTTCTAGACACCTCCTGATGTCTAGAACACTTTGTTTATGCTATTATTTTTCGATTTCGAAGATTCATTGGTTTGAAAAGATGAAACTAGAGTTCTTTTTTCGTCTCGTGTTAAATTTTCCGATTAATGAAATCAATTCTATGTCTCACACTATCTAGAATTCGGCAGCATAGTAGATTTGTTCCAGTTATGCTCATTTTGCTGATCTCTGGAGGTTTCGATTGTTTTGAAGGCCGTTAAATGTTATATTCCCACTAACCATTCTCTTCTTGGCTTCATCTAGTTCCATGATAAGCATTGCCGGGCTGGAAGTACCTGCCACTTAATCGAAATTTTAAAAAATAATAGAAAGGTATTATTTAATAAGATAAAAAATGATTTAATCCTACTAATTAAGCTAATTGATAGTGTATTGTGTGTGTAGATACGCAAAACGATTTATACACTCTATATTTACATGAACATCTTTCATTAATTTTTCTCGGTAAAGACACAATTTCTATAACCTTCATTGTAACTTACAGTTTTTTACTTCACGATTTGGTGATTTTAAGTTACAGGTTTTTGAAGAATTAAAACATCCTAGATTTCATTTTGTGATATCAGAATATGCGTTATTACATTAATTTCCATTTCATTAAGATAATTTTCGAATCTTATTCAGTTAATTGGGGGAGCGGAGTAGTTCAGTGGTAGGGAACTAAGCTTTCAGTCACAGGTTCGAATCTCGGCTCATGGTAGAAAATGTATTCATTGTTTTATTGGGCGTTGTGCGGCCTGGAGTAAGGGAACCTTCCTGGGACATACCCAGCCTTTACAAAGTGGGTACCCTTAATTATACAATTAATTAAGGGGTAAAACATGGCGGTTGAACGTGATTCTGGCCCGATCCTCTCCCTGCACAACCGGTGGCCTTGAAACAGTACTTCCCCTGAATAGTACTGAACCCAAGCCCTTAATGGGTCGTAGTGGTACAGGTTTTTTTATTCAGTTACTTACCCTCTTGTTCTTGTAATTATCGTATATTCGTAATTATCATTATCATCGTATAAACAGCTCATATAATCCAAATTTACCGCCGGTCAAATCGTACAGCTCAGTTATTCGTAAATAATTATATTGCTAGTTTCTTGTTGCGCATCGCTTCTATCCGCTTCATTAGACGGTCCATCCTTTAGTGATTTTCGTCCCGCGTAATCTATCCCCAGCGGGTGTTGTTTATTGTTTAAACAATACCTGACAATAAATCAGGAAACTATTGGGCAGTTGAAGCTATTGGAGCCGGTTCATCAGGGGTAGCAAGTTGGAGGGGAAATTACACCCTGGATGGCTATTAGGAGGCCCAAGGCGGGGTCCTTAATTGCAGAACTAGCGGCTACTAGCGGCGTACTGCTGACTCCACAGCCCCGCCAAATTGGAGCCAATCTTAGCCTCATTACCAGGTGTGTCCTAGTGCTTATTTAATATTAACCGCTGACTGATTGTCTCTTCGGCTATCCCAACAGGATCTGATTGCCTACCGGAATGTCTTATTGTCCATTTAATCGTTTTCATTAGTGATACCGGATGGTACGGCTCAATTGGATACCGCCGTAGCGACATAATTGCTACTCTAATATTTAATTGTAGTTTATACGTGCTACCTCAAGAGTATCGAATCCTATTGTTAATCTCTTTCTTATTTTTTTTTTTATATGCATTCGTTTTTTTTTCATGATCTGTATTTAAAGTATGTTATTTCTATTGATTTTTCACTTAATAATTTGAGTCGCTTATTTCCAAAGTAATAGTTTTATGGCAATTGAGATGAGTATCGAGATTCCCATGTAAAAAAACCCAATGGATCCGATGGTGCAATTTTTTATTTTCCAAAGCGAAACCTAAATATTAAATTTATTTCCAAAACCTTTTGTAATTAAGTACAATTTTTATAACTTTTCTCTCACACCATTTTTCTTTTCCAAAAAAACCTTTGACCAACCTTTATTTTTTGTTAAAAA